TTCTGTATTAACACACTTGGAACATTTTCTAAGGGACCATGAAATTCTTCAAACTTTCAGAGGTACACTCTCGCATTATTTACTATGGCACTTGCATTACCTGAACTATTAATGAAAATTTTTAAATTTTTAGCTGAAGATAAGGCATTATATCCCGCCTTGTTAGTTTCTAGACTCTGGTCTATGTGTTCCGGCCCAATTTTATGGCGTCACATCGAATTGATAGGAGGTGGGAATGCCTTTGGAGAGAAATATAAAATACAATTAAAAAAGTTTATAAAGATAGTACGCAAAAATTCAAGACTGATTTATGGCTCAAGTGTACATTATCTCAAAATTTCACACTACGATAAACTCTCAAATAAGGTAATTGAAAAATTCGTCGAAATATTTCTAAATATAACTCATCTTGATTTTAAACGAAGTTATGGATACAATAATATAGCATTATTCAAGATTTCTCAAGCATATCCTAACTTAATTCATCTTAATGTTTTTAACAACGGGGGGTTAACTGACCATTCTATTATTGAACTCGCAAGTAGATGTCCTAAATTACAGTATTTGGAAATTAGTTGGAGTGGAAATATTACTGATAAGTCTATCTATGAAATTACGAGATCGTGCTACCACTTAAGGCATCTAGGGATAAACGGAGGTAAAAATTGTATTTCTAATAAATCTATACACGAAATTACACGATTCATTCCTAATATCCAATCTTTAAATCTTAATTACTGCAAGAAGCTTACCAATACCACAATCCATGCTCTTGTAAGTTCGTACCCGGATCTAAGAAAATTAGATCTTAGCGATTGTAATAAAGTAACTGATATAGGCATCAGACAAATTGCACAATGTCGTAATCTGGAACACCTTGCACTTAAATCTCTTGAATTTCTTAGTGATGAAACGATATGTATTATTGCGCGATCATGTCCAAACATTTCTCATTTCAACCTCGAATTTTGTCATGTCAGCAATATAGCGGTAGAAGCAATAGCACAATCATGTCGCAATATGGAGTATCTCAATATTTACGGATCAGAATCCATTACTCATAGGTCTATTTCTAAATTGGCAAAAATGTGTCCTAAGATTCGAGATCTTGAATTAGGATTTTGTGAGCTTATAACCGATATAGTCATCAGAGATATTGCACATAATTTATCCGATCTAAAATATCTTGGTTTAAAATATTGCGTAAATATTGGCAAAGAGGCATTAGATACGCTAAATCCAGATTTAGATATAGGTGGGTATTATACAATTCCATTCACTTTATAATCGACGTAAGCCAACATTCGGCTAAAAAAGATTATGCTCCAATAATTTCGTGGTTATAATTATTTTCAGATTGAATTTGCTATATTCACTTAATTTATAAATTTATGCGTTATTTTCCGCATTAATTATATTACCATATTATAACAATCATGACGAGTAATACTAATAATAAAACTGATCAAAGCGAAACATGTGCCCCTTTATATAAAGTGCTTTTATATAAGAAGAAGGATATAATAGCAGTTCAAGAAAAACTTGGTATTAATAGTAATACATTAAAGCAAATAAAACACGAGCCCGATGGAAAAACACTGGCTGATTCATATGAATTGCTGTTAGAATTGGTGAGGGATTTAATACCTATACAGATGAAACTTGGTATAGATATCAATCCCATTTTAGAAGCAGAACTTAGAAGGAATAAAGCCTCTTCAGATAAATCAATTAGATTATTTGATTTGCTTTTATGCTTAGAAGATGATATAGCGACAATTCAGAAAGAACTTGGTATCATCGGTTATACTAATCAAGAAATAGCAGAAGAAGCTGATGAAAATGCAAGGGTATATCTTCGAAAGTTTGAGAAATTTCACGGTCCCCTAGAAGATGATCCAGGTGTGGTATTAAAGAAATATGGCGAAATGGGGGTAAAGAAAATTAGGTTTACTGGAGAGAGACTTCTGCTAATTCCAAATCTTACTCCTCAACAATTGTATGAAGTTTTCGTAAAAAATTCAGCTAGCACCAATCATTGCCCATGTTTAGAACAAGTTAGCTAATTTATATTTTTTTGTCATATAGGGCATATACAGTATGGCTCTGCAAAAAACCCTCCAAACTTTTATATATGCAATATCTTAGGTAAACGAAAAAATAAAATTTAATAAACGATATCTAACTCATCTATGTAATTAGCTTTCATCTTCGATAAAGAATAGTCTTGCCTGATTATACGGTTCTCCTCTTTTTCGCATGTTGATTATAGTGTATCTCTTAGATGGAGAAGCATGGTTATCAGGTGAATGCCGAAGGGCTTCACTGGCATAAGTGTTAGCTTTTGATGCATTTTTAGGCCCATGTGCTACAGAAGTGAACACTGCCCCTAATTTTCGTAAAGAGCTAGGAAGTAGTGGTTCATCGTTCCGGTGTGGGTCTCACACTAGGTTCGGTATGAGCTATGCCTTGTGTACCTCGTCGCTGACCATGGGCA